CTGGCCTCCCTGGCAACAAGCGGCGATGCGGAAGGGCGAGGTGGGCGTGGCTACGCCCTGCTCTTCCTGAAGGCCATGTCCCCGTGGCCTTCAGGAAGAACTGCATAGCCACGCCCACCTCACCCTTCTGCATCGCCAGGGAGGCCAGGGAAACTGCGAGATTGTAAAGTTTGCACCGGACATACGAAAATAATTCCGAAAATGGGTAAATTGTTTCAGTTAGTAATTACTCCTCACACTATTCCAGCATGGCTCGAAATTGTTTCTAAAATCATTTAAATACGAATTCATTCCGATTTTAGAAACTTCCGAACCAGATCAACCAAGCCTAATATACTACTATATAATATAATGTTACTACTATATATTAGTATATTAAATAGACTCATAGAATAGAGTTAGAAGGGACTCTACCATGGTATTAGGGGAGAACAGACAGGAAGGAAGGAGAGAAGAAAGGAGGGAGGGAAAACAGGAAGGAATCAAGGAGGGAAAGGGGGAGCGAAGGAAGGTAAGAGAAAAGGAGGGAGGGAAAGAAGGAAGGAGGGAGGGAAGGAGGGAGAGAAGGAAGGAAAGAAAAAGGTACCGAAGGAAGGAAGAAGAGAAAGTAGAAAGGAAAGAAAAAGGGAGGGAAATTCAGGAAAGAGGTAAAGAAGGAAGGAAGGAGAAAAGGAAATAAAAAGTGAAAGAAGGAAGGAAACAGGGAGGGAAGAAAGGAGACAAAGGAAGAAGTAAGGAAAGAGGGAGAAAAGGAAGAAAAGAGAGAAGGAAGGATGAAACCAAAGACTGAAAGAAGGAATGAAAAAAAGAGGTAGAGAAGGAAGAAAGGAGAGAAAGGGGAAGAAAAGGGAGGAGGAGGAGGAATAGGTAGGTACCTCTTTTTCATAATAGTCCAGATATCTACCTCTACTTTGAAAATTCTTACTATAGGCCACAGCAACACGTGGCAGGGCACAGCTAGTAGGATATAAGGAAGTATGTGAGATCATAAAATAGTACACTTATGTGAGACAAGAAGATTTTCTTCATTCTTTATAGCCTTTGAATACTTACTATGCAGTCTCAGCCACAATTCTGAATCAACTGTATACCTCTTCCTGGCTCTCTCCCCCCCTTCTCGACTTTGAATGGTAAATGTCTGATCCTCGATGAATAATGACAGCCCTCCCTATCTGTTGAAGGTCATGGGATTTTTCTGTCTGCACAAGGATTTGCCTTAAGATGTTTCTGACCTTTCAAAGAATTTAGTGGCGGAACCTGTGATTCCTTCCACTATTGTGTACTGTGTACTTTCTCCTTTCACAATGGAGTGACTCAGTGATAGAAAGAAAGGAAGTCCAACTCAAGCATGTAGCTGGAATACGAAATGGCAAACAAGACGCATTAGGCCATTTTACCCTTTTTACTTTAAAGTGTAGTTGAGTTAAGAAAACAACAGCAGTGTAGTTTGTACAGAAACACTATAAGAAGTATGTATCCACGTAAAAATACAGTCTGGCAACAGAATATGATATTAATATATATGCACATAGAGATATTTTCTATAATCAGAATGTGTCAATAAAGTAAAAACAGGTTTTATTTATTTATTTATTTATTTACAGCTTTTATATTCCGCCCTTCTCACCCCGCAGGCCGGATTACAGTGTACACATATATGGCAAACATTCAATGCCAATTTTTGACATACAAACATATCCAGACATACACAGAGGCTATTTATCTTTTTCTGGCCACCAGGGAAGCTGTCGCTTTCATCCTCCATCTGCGACGCTGATGAAGCACTTCCGCATTCCCCGCATGCTTCCCCGCTGGAATGCTTTGCTGTAGTCTTCTTTATGGCCTCATAAATCAGTTAATTTAGCCTTCCCACACTTTAAGATGGTACCTTATTTTCCTACTTGACAGATGCAACTGTCTTTCGGGTTGCAAAGGTCGACAACAGGCTACACACAATTGGTTGGAAACTCACTCCAACCCGGGCTGGCTTCGAACTCATGACCTTTGGTCGGAGTGATCTTAATGCAGCTGACACTCAGCCAGCTGCGCCACAATCCCGGTGCATTCATTTGTCTGAATTCATTTGCAAAGTTGTTGCAAAGTCAGTGTTGCTGTATAGCAAATAATTGTGCTTACATTGTTGTGGAAGAACAATATCTATAAAACATGGTGGAAAACTACTATCATTTGTTTTAGCCTCAATTAAATATGGAAGTGATATACTTGTTTTAAAAGATGAAATGAGGTTTTAAACTTTTGTTTAATGCAATAGATGTTTGTAATTCCCCAACACATGCACTTGTGATCTTAATTCGGGGTATGTTTCCCTGTTTGTAGAAACTGGGCCAATGGAGGCCAGTCATGTGTACCTGGCTGTTTTATTGCCTGGCTTAATGTTCCATTGGAAAAGATCCCATCTGAAGAAGTGGCTGCCTCTCACTCTGCCCCATTCTCATTGAACCTGATCCTATATCCTGTACCCCCCCCCGCCCCCCCCACCCCCCCCCCCTCTTGGAGTCCTCGTGGACAACAAGTCAAACATGAGCCAACAATGTGATGGGGCGGCAAAAAAAGCCAATGGGATTTTGGCCTGCATCAATAGGAGCATAGTGTCTAGATCTAGGGAAGTAATGCTACCCCTCTATTCTGCTTTGGTTAGACTACAACTGGAATATTGTGTCCAATTCTGGGCACCACAATTCAAGAGAGATATTGACAAGCTGGAATGTGTCCAGAGGAGGGCGACTAAAATGATCAAGGGTCTGGAGAACAAGCCCTATGAGGAGCGGCTTAAGGAGCTGGGCATGTTTAGCCTGAAGAAGAGAAGGCTGAGAGGAGATATGATAGCCATGTATAAATATGTGAGAGGAAGCCACAGGGAGGAGGGAGCGAGCTTGTTTTCTGCTTCCCTGGAGACTAGGACGCGGAACAATGGCTTCAAACTACAAGAAAGGAGATTCCATCTGAACATGAGGAAGAACTTCCTGACTGTGAGAGCCGTTCAGCAGTGGAACTCTCTGCCCCAGTAGTGTGGTGGAGGCTCCTTCTTTGGAAGATTTTAAACAGAGGCTGGATGGCCATCTGTCAGGGGTGATTTGAAAGCAATATTCCTGCTTCTTGGCAGGGGGTTGGACTGGATGGTCCAACGATTTGATTCTATGATACTATTATAGCTCTTGGGGCCTTTTCAATGGGATGGGCAATTTACTCGGGGGGGGGGGGGGGGAAAGGCCAAAGAAAATCTTTGTTCTGGATCCTAATGGTAACTTATCCTGTTGTGATCCCTCAATTGCACTTGTGTATTAATTTCAAATAGTGTTGCACAAAGAGGTGGTGTGTACTGGCTCAATTCTCCTAGTCAATGACAGAGGGAACAAGCAGGTTTAAAAAAGACCCATTGTAATGGGAAAGTGTTGGTTTCTAATATATGTAATGCCTTTATGCTTGTGGGTAAACTGTATATCTTGTTGTTTCTTTGTTAGTGTTGATGTAGATATTGTCTGGTTTGCCTACTCTGGAACATGCAACATATAATTGCCTTTCTTTAGGGGTCCCTTTCAAATCTATGATACTATTTCTGTCATATACATATGTGTGTGTGTGGGAATCATATATATCTTTGGCTGGATGGCTCTTTGTCAGGAGGGCTTTGATTATATTTTCTTGCCCTGGTGTGGACTGGATGGCCTTAAGTACAGCAGTGTTTCTCAACCTGGGGGGGGGCCATGGGGGGTGGGGTGCCAGAGAGGTTGCCAAAGACCATCAGAAAACAGTATTTTCTGTTGGTCATGAAGGTTCTGTGTGGGAAGTTTGGCTCAATTCTATCGTCGGTGGGGTTCAGAATGCTCTTTGATTGTAGGTGAACTATAAATCCCAGTAACTACAACTCCCAAATGCCAAGGTCTATTTTCCCCAAACTCCATTTGTGTTCATATTTGGGCATATTGAGTATTCGTGCCAAGTTTGGTCCAGATCCATGATTTTTTGGGTCCACAATGCTCTCTGGATGTAGGCGAACTACAACTCCAAAACTCAATGTCCACCAAACCCTCCCAGTATTTTCTGTTGGTCATGGGAGCCCTGTGTGCCAAGTTTGGTTTAATTCATTGTCGAAGGCTTTCATGGCCAGAATCACTGGGTTGTTGTAGGTTTTTTCGGGCTATATGGCCATGGTCTAGAGGCATTCTCTCCTGACATTTCGCCTGCATCTATGGCAAGCATCCTCAGAGGTAGTGAGGTCTGTTGGAACTAGGAAAAAAAGGGTTTATATATCTGTGGAATGACCAGGGTGGGACAAAGGACTCTTGTCTGCTGGAGCTAGGTGTGAATGTTTCAACTGACCACCTTGATTAGCATATAATGGCCTGACAGTGCCTAGAGCAAACTTTTGTTGAGAGGTGATTAGATGTCCTTGTTTGTTTCCTCTCTGTTGTTGTGCTGTTGTAATTTTAGAGTTTTTTAATAGATGCAGGCAAAACGTCAGGAGAGAATGCCTCTAGACCATGGCCATATAGCTCGAAAAAACCTATAACAATCCTTTGGTTTAATTCCATCGTTGTGGAGTTCAGAATGCTCTTTGATTGTAGGGGAACTATAAATTCCAGCAACTACAACTCCCAAATGACAAAGATGCCTTGTTGCCAAATTTGGCAGCAATTCATCCAGTGGATTTTGAGTTATGATGTCACTCAAAAACACATTACAAATAATATATGTACGGTGTGTATAGGAATTAATGTTTTTTTAAAGAACCATAGGTTGGCCCCCCAACAGTCTAATGGACTGTGAACCGGCCCGCTGCTGAGAAAATTTGAGGAGCCCTGCCCAAAAGTATCCACATAATATTGCAGTCTTCAAATGATGATCATGCACAGTGTGTTTGCTTTCCTTCAGAAAGATTTACTTATTTCTTGGGTCCCACAGAACTGTAAAATATTGGTGGAAATTTTGTAAGAAAAAGTGATCATTAGGATAAATAAGATGTCCCATTTTATTTGCAGGCTCATTGCTCCGTTGAAAAAGATAGTTTGATTGCTGGAGTGAAAATTAAACAGATACCTACAGATGAGAAGTTTGCTGTGCGTGGATCTGCTCTAAGGAAAGCTATAGACAATGATAAAGCTACTGGACTCATCCCATTCTTTGTAAGTGCTGGTTTCCCTGTCATTTTTAATTATTATAACGCTCAGTTAAAATTGTTAATAAAAATTCAACTAAAATTTTAAAGTGTTGAACTAACTTCCTCCTCTGTGCCTTTAACAGAAATATGATTTCAGGCCACAATATATCCCCCCCCCCCCCATTTTTAATGTGTAATCAATCATTTTACATTGTTCATGCAATTTTATGATAGTTCCAGATAAAGCTGTACTTCAGATGAATGTTTATTTTTTTCTGTTTTATTAGCACCACAGAAAATCTATTTAAAATGTGCTTCCATCTAAACAAAAAACATTTTAAAGGTATTTTACAGTGCAGAAAAAAATTGCAGAACTGAAGCTGAGTGGAAGGAATTGTCCATAGGAAAGGGTGAATCATGATATGGGCAGTTTTTTTTCTTTCTCTAGTGCTTAACATGCATTTCTGATTTCAAATATAGCAAAAAAGGAAGAGCAAGAAAGGAAAAGGAAAGAAAAACAAGTTTCCGAATAGACTCACAAACAAATCAAGGCCAATCTTAGATTGTGCAAGCTCAAGGGGGCAAAACAACAACAACAACAACAACAACAACAGCAACAACACTTTATTTATATTCTGCCCGTCTCACCCCGAAGGGGACTCAGCGCGGATCACAGTACACATACATGGCAAGCATTCAATACCGCTTTGTATAGACAATACACAGACAGACGGAACAGAACAGGAGGTGCCATGGAAGGTTGGGCTCGAGTCCAGGGGGTGCTTTATCCTCTGTGACAAAGAGCGGTCAGGACTTCCTCCTTCCTTTGGGTCACCCAGCATTTTCTGATCTTCTTTCTTTATGGCGTCGTAAAACACCTCCCCTGCTTTTAGCGGTACTTAATTTCGCTAATCACAGCTAAATCTGTTTTCGAATTGCTTAGGTAAACAATGAGCTAAGCTGACAGTTGGCAGTTCACGCCAACGCAGGGATTCGAACTTGCAACCTTTTGGTTGATAGATCTTATAATTGCTGATGATTTACCAGCTGTGCTAAACCTCTGGCTCAAAATGGGAGAAGGGTCCTAGCTGGGCTCCATACAGGGGTTGTGCTACTGGTTTGGCTTCAAATAGTTTGAGAGCTGCAGGTATGAAGTGCCCCCTCTTGACTTGAGGTATTTTAGAATGGCAGTTGAGCTCTTTTGTGCAGTCTCAGCCATATGGTCTCCACGGGCTTTTCCGCTACTGCCTTGCCCCATCGAGTCTGGTATCTGGAGTGACAATATGCAGAGCAACAAGCTGATTTGAGAAGGGAGGGAGAAGGGAAGGAGCGATTCATCCTTTCAACTCTCTACTCTCTTGCATCACCTCCTCGCACTGGCTATTGTATTGTTGAAGGCTTTCACGGCCAGAATCTCTGGTGTGTTGTGTGGTTTCCATGCTGTATGGACGTGTTCTAGCAGCATTTTCTCCAGACGTTTCACCTACATCTGTGGCTGGCATCTTCAAAGGAGTGCTGGTAGACTAAAAGTCTTTCCTCATTGCCCTAAGTTCTCTGATATTTCATAGTCCCTAAATGGCCCTTCATAAATGATGGGGGGAGTTCTGCTGAATGACCCACCAATTCCTGCAGCTGTTTGGCTCCAACCCTTGTCAAAGACAGTCTATACAATTATACTCATCCTGATTTATTTCTGGGGTAACTTTCATCAACCATGCAGAAGTAGACTATTCTGGGAGAGTTGACTCACCCTGAGAATTCTGGTTCTTGCTTCTAGTGCATTTAAACAGGACAGAACTGACAATAAGGCTCCTTTGTTGGCAGACGCTGTTACTTTAGGCTTGTCCTCTTTCTCTTTTGGAAACAAGTGGTTCAGTAGCACTCTGATCTTTTCTTAAAACTGCAATTGCACCAGAATACCTCCCCTTTCCTGACACCACGTGAAGGAGCCAGTGGAGGAGTTTAACAGCTGTGTATTCAGAGGATTTTAATATATTAACTAGCCGTCCCCTGCCACGCGTTGCTGTGGCCCACATGGGGGTTCTGTGTGGGTGGTTTAGCCCAGTTCTATCGTTGGTGGGGTTCAGAATGCTCTGTGATTGTAGGTGAACTATAAATCCCAGCAACTACAACGCCCAAATGTTAAGATTCTATTTTCCCCAAACTCCATCAGTGTTCACATTCGGGCATATTGAGTATTCTTGTAGAGTTTGGTCCAGATCCATCATTGTTTGAGTCCACAGTGATCTCTGGATGTAGGTGAACTACAACTCCAAAACCAAAGGATACTGCCCTCCAAACCCTTCCAGTATTTTCTGTTGGTCATGGGAGAACTGTGTGCTACGTTTGGTTCAATTCCATCGTTGGTGGGGTTCAGAATGCTCTTCAATTGTAGGTGAACTATAAATCCCAGCAACTACAACTCCCAAATAACAAAATAATTTTTTAGTGAAGGACACACATTGGGTTGTTTGGTGTCTTGTGTCCAAATTTGGTGTCAATTCATCCAGTGGTTTTTGAGTTCTGTGAATACCACAAACGAACATTACATTTTTATTTATATAGATGTTGTGTTATTGTGAATTCCAAACAATATTTCCTCCAACTATCTCTAAATATTGTTACCAAATAATTAATGAATTGTGTTAATGATTTCAAGAAGTAGTTAGCAATCAATCACTCCAGAGAGTTCTGTTACAGTAAGTCGTAGCAGGATCAAGTGTGTGTTGAAGAAAAACCTTATGATGTCAATTATTATATGCAGCTGGTAATGTAGGTCAGCCAGCATGCTTTCCTAACAATTAAAGAGTTCCAGGAGAACACATTTCCACACCAATGCCAATGAAAGGTTTAGTTGGAAGGAGAGAAGAAGCAGAAAAGCTGTGTTTGGTCTTGCTGCTTCCAAAGAGGTTGGGAATGTAGCACAATTGGTATATAGACTCCCTGACCACACACTTTTTCTGATGAGGTAGAGTACACTGCCACTTGGATCCCATCTCCACTGCCAATTTTGCAAATATTTTTAAACCTGGGGTCAAGTCCAAGTAAAAGGCTTATCCCAGATTAATGGGTATTAGCCTGGGTGTTTTGGTGGGATGCCCCAGGCTACTGTGAGTGCTACGCAGTATTACCTGGCAGTGTAGATGGTGTTGCAGTTTGGAACTGCATTGTATAAAACTGTAAATTAAATTGCCTTGGACATCTCATGACATGATATGGCTTTAGGGAAAAGAAAATAATTCTTAAATGGAAAGCCATAAAAAAGAGGAAGCCCAATTGCAGATAGATTGACACAATAAAGAAAACTCTTGCCTGAGTTTTCATTCTTAGGGTCAACATAGGTCAGAGCAAACAAAAAATGACTTGGCCTGACTTACCGGGTCGAGCGTGTTGCGGCGCAGGGTGTCTTCACCACCATAATGGGGCCAGGGGGCTTCTTCTTCTCAGAAGCCCCCTGGGTGGCAGGAAAGTTTCCTGCCGGCAGGGCCAGCTGGCCAATGGTTGGGTTGGCCCTACCCCATTCAGGCGTGGCTACTGCCAGCCCTTCCTTCTGCCTACTTAAGGCTACCCAAGGCCTTCCAACAGGCACTGGGTGTACCTCAGCTTTTCCATCCCTCCCACCCTGCATGATGATAGTCTTAAGGTGTTTTGTTAGCCTGTCTTGTTGCTAGCTTGTTGCCTCTTGTCACAACCCCATGTTTGGTGTATGCCATGGGCCCTGGATCTGGCTGGTTTATCCCGCCACCCAGGCCTGGATCTTGGTGGAAGGAGGGATAGCGCCTGTGGCCCTGGGGTGCCGAGTTTCCGTTGACCGGTATTGGACCGGCGGCACCCAGGCATCATCGGACAGCAGTGGGCTGCCCGACTCCTGATCCAGGATCCATGCATGGTCTGCAGTTTGGGGGTCCTCCTGGATTCTTCACTTACGTTTGAGGCTCAGGCGTCGGTGGTGACCGGGAGGGCCTTTGCACAATTAAGACTCGTGCGCCACCTGCGACCATACCTTGGGAAGGCGGATCTTGCCAAGGTGGTCCACGCCTTACTCACCTCTAGACTGGATTACTGCAATGCACTCTACGTGGGGCTGCCCGGAAATTTCAGATGATCCAACAGGCAGCAGCCAGTTGTTAACTGGGGCTCCTTACAGGGAGCGGTCAACCCTCCTGTTCAAGGAGCTCCACTGGCTGCCATTCATTTACCGGACCCAGTTCAAGGTGCAGGTTCTTTCCTACAAAGCCCTGAATGGTTTGGGACCCGCCTACCTGCGTGACCGCATCTCTATACGAATCCACACGATCTCTTCGTTCATCTGGAGAGGCCCTGCTCTCGATCCCGCCAGCATCGCAGGCGTGATTGGTGGGAACGAGAGAGAGGGCCTTTTCGGTGGTGGCCCCACAACTCTGGAACTCACTCCCTAAGGACATCAGGCAGGCCCCAACCCTGGCAGTTTTCAGGAGGAGCTTGAAGACGTGGTTGTGCCTTCCCGGATTAACAATCCCATAGCACTTTGTCCCTCTAAAGCACTTTACATTTTTTAGGTCTGCTCATATGTCTCTCCACAAATGCCACTATCACCTTTTTGTCCATGTCCAGCACTATTTCCAATTTTAATTTTACATTTGGCCTTCCCATAGTTTTATTGTATGTTGTCTTATTGATAATGTTATATGTTTATGTTTTATTTTAATTGATTGTATTGTTGTGATTATTGCTTGTATTGTTGTGTTCGGGCTTGGCCTCATGTAAGCAGCACCGAGTCCCTTGGGGAGATGGTAGCGGGGTACAAATAAAGTGTTATTATTATTATTATTATTATTATTATTATTATTATTATGGCCTTCAACCCTTGTTCCTATAATTGTAGGAGCAGTTAGGAGAAAATATAATAATAATAATAATAATAATAATAATAATAATCATGGAAATCATAATAATTTAGAACCTCTGGGTAACGTATTTCCGCAACATAATCAATAAACGAGTTGTGGCCATTTTCTACTCCAATCTATTTGTGTATGTGTCTTC